ATCAACCCCTATCTCTCCTACATAATCCCCTACTACACTTATCTCCCCCTAATCCTATCACAACTACATTACCTCCCTCTACTCCTAATCCTACTACCTATCCTAATCCTAATCCTACTACCTATCCTAATCCTACTACCTATCCTAATCCTAATCCTACCACCTATCCTATTCCCCCTAATCCTACTCCAACTACCTATCCTACCACCTATCCTACTCCAACTACCTATCCTATTCCCCCTAATCCTACTCCAACTACCTACCCTACCACCTATCCTACCACCTATCCTACCACCTATCCTACTACCTATCCTACCACCTATCCTACTACCCATCCCACTACCTACCCTACTACCTACCCTACTCCTACCACTTATCCTACCCTATTCCTACTACCAACTCTACCACCCAATCTTACTACACTATCACTCCTATTCCTATTCCTATTACCTACACTACCCTATTCCTAATTCTATTCCTATTACCTACACTACCTACCCTATTCCTATTCCTATTCCTATTACCTACACTACCCTATTCCTATTCCTATTCCTATTACCTACACTACCCTATTCCTATTCCTATTCCTATTCCCATCCATACCAACTACTCCACCTACCTATCACACACTACCCTACTTACAACACCTACTCTACCCTATTCCTAATCCTACTACCAACTTTTCTTTTTTCCATCTACTCCATACTCTATTCTCCTATTACCAACTACCCTACATCACTTACACTACTACTACTACTCTCCCAATCCTACACTATCCTATCATTCCTACCAACTACACAACCTACACTACTACTATCAATCACTACCAACACTACCCTACTTACCCTACTTACAACACCTCCCATTTCCCCAAAAACTACCCTATTCCTACTACCAACTCTACCAACAACACAACACATTTCCAACTACACTACTCTCTTATTCTCAACTACCCTACCAATTCTACCTACACCACCACCACCACCACCACTACTACTACTCTTTTCCTCCCACATTATCACTTCCTTATTACCAACTACACTACCATTACTATCACTACTACTTACATTCTCACACACTACCCTATTCCTATTACCTACAACACCACTACTACCTCTCTTTTCTTCACTCCCTACTCTATTCCTATTCCTACTACCAACTTTTCTATTTTCCATCTACACCACATTCTTATTTCCATTACCACCACTACTCCTATTACCAACTACCCTACTTTCTCTACCACAATTTTCTTCCCACCCTACACTACCTACACTACTTACACTACTACCTCAATTTTCTTCCCACACTACACTACCATTACCCCCACCACCACTCATTACCAACCACACTACCCTATTCCTATTACCACTACCATTACTACCACTCCTACTGCCACCACCACTACCACTACTTACACTACTACTACTACTACTACTCAAATCATCCCACACTACCCTATTCCTACCAACTACACTACCATTACTATTACTCTTAATACCACCACCACCACCACTACTACCACCAATTTCATCCCACACTACACTATTATTCCTATTACCAACTAATCTACCCTCACTACCATTATTCTCACTCGCGGGGTGTCCACGGCGTTATTTCCACATTATTTACCGGGGTTTTCACGCGGGTTATCGACGGGTTATTTACCGGGGTTTTCACGCGGGTTATCGACAGGTTATTTACCAGCGTTTTCACCTGGGTTATCTCCACATTATTTACTGGGGTTTTCATGGCCGTTATCTCTGCCTTATTTACCAGCCTTTTAATGGCCATTATCTCCAGCTTTTCTACTGCCATTTTCATCCCAGTTCACTCCCCATTACTTTTCCTACTTCTCGAACCAACTCACTAATCTCTAATCTCTACTCATCATACAAACTACTAGTCTGTCTTACCACTCCACATAACCAACCAGTCCCTTATTTTTGCTAGTCATATTCAAGTCAGTCCCTAGTCAGTCAGTAGTTACTACTACATCCCTTCGTAGCTAGTCCACTTTTTTTGCTAATCAACTCACTACTCATCTTCAATCCAAATAACCAACCGGTCCCTTATTTTCCTAGTCCCTCATCAGTAGTCAGTGGTTCTTGCTAACTCCCCTTTTTTGCTAATTACTTGCTAGTCATCTTGTCTCCAGATAACCAACCAGTCCCTCATTTTTTGCTAGTCATATTCAAGTCAGTCGGTAGTCAGTAGGTCCATGCTCACTACTACATCCTTTCATAGTCCACTGTTCCAAATAAGCAACTGCTCACCTATTTTTTTTTGCTATTTGGTAGTCAGTGCTCATTGCTAACTCCACTTTTTTTTGCTAATTACTTGCTAGTCATCTTGTCTCCAGATAAGCAACCGGTCGCTTATTTTTTGCATTCTTAGTGGCTGTGCTGCTTCCCTTCACCAACTTTCTGGTCCCTGTGTATTTATTTCCTCATATCATGGTTCCATGCAGTGGCTGTGTAGTGGCTGTGTAGGTTTCATTCAGTGGCTGTGCAGGTTTCATGCAGAGGCAATGGTGGAGTCTGGAAAGTACAATATTAGCCCCTGATGTGCATGTGAAACCCCTATTGACATGTGCATGCAACAGCCCCTATTGATGCATGCATGCAACAACCCCTATTGGCGCATGCATGTGACAGCCCCTATTGACGCATGCATGCGACAGCCCCTATTGACGCATGCATGCGACAGCCCCTATTGACGCATGCATGCGACAGCCCCTATTGACGCATGCATGCGACAGCCCCTATTGACGCATGCATGCGACAGCCCCTATTGACGCATGCATGCGACAGCCCCTATTGACGCATGCATGCGACAGCCCCTATTGACGCATGCATGCGACAGCCCCTATTGACGCATGCATGCGACAGCCCCTATTGACGCATGCATGCGACAGCCCCTATTGACGCATGCATGCGACAGCCCCTATTGACGCATGCATGCGACAGCCCCTATTGACGCATGCATGCGACAGCCCCTATTGACGCATGCATGCGACAGCCCCTAATGCGCCGGACTCTGCGCAGGGTCCAGGAAGTAGATTATTAGGTTTGATTACATAGCAGACATGCCCAATGAACTGACTGGGATGTGGATGGTAAAACTGTTGTCACACACCAAAGGTGTTGTGGACATGGTTATAGCTGACTCTGCCTAACTCATTGACAAGTTGCACACAACATCATGCTGTGCACATGAAGACTAAAGGCCTCATGTGTAGAAAGACTGCTGGACATTAACAGTCATCCTTCACACAAGAATGAGCTGTCAGTGCTAAAGAGAAAAGAGGAAGTGAGTTAAGCATGCATTAACGGTTTTTAGTGCCCATGTACAGCATTCCAGTTTTCATCATATCTCCACCATTTCCAAAGATATCGACTCCATTCTCACACTCACTTAAAGTGCTCAGCCACACAGTTCTGCCTTCCAAATTTGGGGAGGATCCTCACACCCTGCACATTTCTACAGCACTCCATCCATCAGATGCTCATTTTGTGAAGTCCATCAATCATGGCTGCCTCTTTGTTGATCATCTTGCTTGTCTCATTTGCCAGAGACAGTGGCTATGTATATCTGTCAGGCATTCCCACCAGCTTCCATCCTGAAGCCCCCTGGTTCATCCCATTGTTGTCAGCCCCATCTCATCCCATGCAGCTTGGTCAGCATGTTCTCCTTGTCAGTATGACTTCCAGAAGGACATTCTTCAGTCACTGCAGGTCTGTCACTTGGTTAGAAAGGTCTTATGTGGTTGTTTTGGTCTCCCCAGTTGATGAAGCATATGGATCATTCCTCCCTGCTCCCTGCACCATCTTTATTCCAATCTTGTCTATCATTCTTCCCACACTGTGACAGCTGCAGCATAGTCTATTGTTCTCCAGCCTCCCTGATCACATTCATGACAAGTATGATGTGCATCTTGCCTTCTTACTGCAAGGTCCAGCAGAAGACATCCCCCCTTCTCCTCCTCCATCAGAGCCCTGTTCATGAAGCTTTTGTTAACTTTGCTGAGAGGATGAAAGGGTGGGAGATGTGATCACTTATGCTCCCATTGCCCCACAGACCCCCAATGCCCTAGCCCCTTTGATGCCTGACTCATGCCCTTCAATTCTGGAATTAATACTTCCCTATCTGGAAACACTGTCCATCTGTCATGCCATCTTCAGATCTAGAGATGTTTCCACCGAGATCTGATTTGCATCGCCACCCCCTAATGTGATATCAGTGTGCTTACTCAGTTTCTGACTCCATTTGACTCATTCTATGATATTCTGACTATCCTTGACTTGTTTATTGCCAATACTTACCAATCTTCTTTGCTTGCTTACTTTTCATTTCTTGCTTACTCATCATGATTACTCAGTCCTTACTCATTACTTACCAAGTGTTTGTGCCATGTTTGTCACAAGCTGTGCTCCCCCCACAGTATATAAACCCCTGTGTACTTAGCTACAACCCCCAAGCAATCCACAAGCAATACAGAAGCAATCCAGAAGTCAGTTCAGCTCTCTCAGTGCATAACTTGTCATCAACAGTTGAGGCTCATTTGGATGAGTCTATCTGTTACCATCCATCATCCTTGGTAGTTGAGGCTCCATCAAGGGTCTATCTACCTCCATTCCTTATCTGAAGCTTTCTCCACTCTTAGTCAGCAGTCTTGCTTAGTCATCCCTCTGCTCCTGCATAACTCGACATTGACTTGTGCCAGGTGCATGTTTTATCAAAGTCCATCATTCCAGAGGTCCTTTCAGCTGAACACCTTCACTCTGTTCAGCATCCCCTGTCCAGTCATCACTTGCTTGTCTACTCCTGCATAACTCATCAACAACTTGTGCCAGGAGCACCTCCACTTGAAGTCCCCCCCCACATTAGATTTTCTTCTGCACTCCAGGTTCCACAGAGGCAAACCACCACTCGCACATTATTTGTCTTTGGTGTTGGACTTGTTTGGTTTTCACCAGCTTTCCATACATTGACTCACACTGTCCTTCCTGGACAACAGAACTCACCACCTTGCCATTGTTCACATCAACACCATCATACAAGCAGCACATTTAATTCCTATTTTTGGTCAGGAGCATGCTCCACTGCCCATTAGCTTCAATAACTCATTGAACGTTTACTGCAGATTCTACATTAATCATTTTGTGGACCACCATGCATTCAAGCTGTCATTTTCATGCCATTACTTAGTTTAATTAGACTGACTTAATATCACTTGGATCACTTGGGTAGGCATGATAACACTTGAACTGTCTTATTGGACTTAAATACTTGGTGTGATTTTGGATGACATTGCCTAAGCAAGTCTTTTTAACTTGATGTTACTTAGTGGCTTTGACAAAGGTATGAGTTCTCAGTGCATGAAGTAGTCTCTATATTAGTACTTAACAAAGGTATGAGTTCTATGCTACATCAGTACCAAGTAAATGAGTGCAAGTATAGCTATGCTCACCTCAGTGCATGAAGTAGTCACTGAGGTGGAAAATAATGGTGTGGAAAATTTAT